GCACAAAGCATTAGAAAATACTGAGATATTTTATTATTAAAAATGGCGCTGAAAAGTGTATACATATGTGTCCAGCCATATATATATCTTCTATCATTATTTAAGGCAAAAAAAAAAAAAAACACACAAAAGAACAAAAAACCAAAGACGAGAGGAAAAAAAAAATTGCAGAAATTATCATAACCCAGGAGACCGTGGTACCCACTCCCCGTCCCCGCAAAATTCGGGAATAAAAGCTTAGCAAAGGGGTGTGTGTGTGTGTGTGTGTGTGTTGTTGTTGCTGTTTTTTGTTTGTTTCTGTTGTTGTTTGTTTTTTAACGCATTTTTTTCTCCTCATTTCTTTTCCTTCCTTTCCCCTCCCCATTTTTTTTAAAAATACATTTTATTGATATTTTACAGACAGGAAGGGAGATGGATAGAGAGCTAGAAACATCGTCGATGGGAGAGAAACATCGACCAGCTGCCACTTGCACACCCCCTACTGGGGATATGCCCGCCACCAAGGTCCATGCCCTTGACCGGGAATCGAACCCGGGACCCTTCAGTCCGCAGGCCGACGCTCTATCCACTGAGCCAAACCGGTTTTGGCCTCCCATTTTTTTTTTAAATATAAATAGCAAGGAGAAGTGTATTCCCATAGAATTCCATGAAGATCCTATACCATCGTCCCATGTAGAAATAGGGTGTCCTGGATGATATTCAATTGCTTTTTTTGTTTGTTTGTTTGTTTAACATATTTTTTAAAATATATTTTATTGATTTTATACAGAGAGGAAGGCAGAGAGATAGAGAGTTAGAAACATGGATGATGAGAGAGAGTCATCGATCAGCTGCCTCCTACACACCCCCTACTGGGGATGTGCCCGCCACCAAGGTCCATGCCCTTGACCGGGATCGAACCCGGGACCCTTCAGTCCCCAAGCCGACGTTCTATCCATTGATCCAAACCGGTTTGGGCTGTTTAACATATTTTTTCCTCATTTCTTTTTCTGCCTTTTCCCCCCATTTTTTTTTTTTTTTTAAATATAGATAGCAAGGAGAAGTGTATTTTCCTAGAATTCCATGAAGGTCCTATAATATCGTCCCCTGTAGAAAGATGCTATCCTGGATGGCATTCACGTGTTTTTTTTATTTAAAAAAAAAATTGTTTTTAATGAACCGTCATCATCGGAAAACGCAAAAGGAATGATGGATGATGTCGCCGAACGGGGACTCTGGGAATTTTTTTTTTTTTCCTTTTTCGGTGGTTGTTTTTCTTTCTTTCTTTGCCCCCGCCCCTCCCCCCCCCAAAAAAAAATTAATCACAAGCCTCATCCATCAGGATGCGAATTGCGAGCGGGAGACAGGTGGGGGGATTATGGGACATGTATGGGAATTTGGTTCCACAGAGACCCCCCCACCCCACCCAAGAGGCCATGTTGGACCCCAATATGTCTCCTCCTTTGGGGGTGGATGGGTAAATGGTAGTGATTTTCCAGAATTGGACTAGGGCACTCCCCATTGGGCGGATAAGAATTCTACACCGTGTGACATGTGTAAACACACACACACACAGAGAGAGAGAGGCAGAGAGAGAGAGAGGAAAGAGAGAGAGAGAGAGAGAGAGAGAGAGAGAGAGAGAGAGTGTCATGGCCCAATCCCACCTCCAACACAAACCACCACGTCCATCCTGCCACTGGCACACGTGTGTCTAAGGATTCCCTTTGGGCTGACACCGGTGTGGCTCAGTGGACAGAGCGTCGGCCTGCGGACGGAAAGGTCCCGGGTTCGATTCCCGGTCAAGGGCATGTAGCTTGGTGGCGGGCGCATTCCCAGTGGGGGGCGTGCAACAGGCAGCTGGTCGATGATTCTCTCTCATCGATGTTTCTGACTCTCTATCCTTCTCTCTTCCTCGCTGTAAAAAATCAATAAAAAATATATTTTTTTTAAAAAAAGAATTCCCTTTGTCCACATGGTATCAAACACTCCGGGTTGTGGGTTTGAGCGCCAGGAAGGGGGCGGGGGGTGCTGGAGGGCAGCGAGTCCGTGATTCTGTGTCTCTCTCTCTCTCTCTCTCTCTCTCTCTCTCTCTCTCTCTCTGTGTGTGTGTGTGTGTGTTTTCTCCTTTGTGTCATCGTCATTCACCAGCAATGCATCCTATAAATGCCCAGAAAGTAATCTTTTCTGACCAGCATCCAAAGAGTTCAAAAAAGCAAAACAAAGAAAAACAACCCACAAACACAAAACAACACGGTGGGGGCAGACACAGAGGGACGTAAGGCCTGACACACACACACACACACACACACACACACACACAGAGACACACACACACACACACACAGACACACACAGAGACACACACACAGACACACACAGACACACACACACAGACACACACACACACACAGAGACACACAGACACACACAGACACACACACAGAGACACAGACACACACACACAGAGACACAGACACACAGACACACACAGACACAGAGACACACACACAGAGACACACACACACAGACACACACACAGACACACACACACAGACAGACACACACACACACACAAACACAGGATGTTCATTTATCTCTCTCTCACACACACACAGACACACACACACAAACACACACAGGGTGTTCATTTCTCTCTCTCTCTCTCTCTCTCTCTCACACACACACACACAAACACACACAGGGTGTTCATTTCTCTCTCTCTCTCTCTCTCTCTCTCTCTCTCTCTCTCTCTCTCTCACACACACACACACACACACACACACACACACACACACTCACACAGAAGAAACATTTCCTGAAACGACAAAATCTAGACAGGATGCCGCAACCCATGCCCTTTTGTACAACCTGGACTCCACGCAGGCGGTCGGGGGGCGGGGAGAGGAGGGCACCTCGGGGTGGCCCTTCCCCCCGGTACCCCACCCACCCACCCAGCCACCCAGCCACCCACCCGCCCAGGAAACGCCTTACAAAAACCCTCACGCCAGCCTGGTCCACGAGGAAGGGGGGGGGAGAGAGAGAGAGAGAGAGAGAGAGGAAAGAGAGAGAGAGAGAGGGAGAGAAGAAAGAGAGGGAGAGAAGAGAGAGAGGAAGAGAGAGAGAGAGAGAGAGAGAGAGAGAGAGAGAGAGAGAGAGAGAGAGGAGAGAGAGAAAAGAGAGGAGAGAGAGAGAGAGAAGAGAGAGAGAGGAGAGAGAGAGGGAGAGAGAGAGAGAAGAGAGAGAGAGGGAGAGAAAGAGAGAGAAGAGAGAGAGAGGAGAGAGAGAGGGAGAGAGGAGAGAAAGAGAGAGAGAAAGAGAGAGAGAAAAGGAGAGAGAGAAAAGAGAGAGAGAGGAGAGAGAGAGAGAGGGAGAGAGAGAGAGAGAGAAAAGAGAGAGAGGAGAGAGAGAAAGGAGAGAGAGAGGAGAGAGAGAGAGAAAGGAGAGAGATAAAGGAGAGAGAGAGAGAGAGAAAGGAGAGAGGAAAGAGAGGAGAGAGGGAGAGAGAGAGAGAGAGAGGAGAGAGAAAGAGAAAGAAAGGAGAGATAGAGGAAAGAGAGGGGAGAGAGAGAGAGAGAGAGAGAGAGAGGAGACTGGAGAGAGAGAGAGAGAGAGGAGAGAGAGGAGAGAGAGGAGAGAGAGAGACCTCCTACATCCCGGAGCGAACAGATGGGGCTCCGACGAAATGCGTAGCTTTATATATAGATTTATATTTATATACACAGAGACCACAATGGAGGGGGGCATCGTACAACCTCGCTCAAGAGAGTCTTTCCAACGGAGAAATAATACCAGGAAAAGCTGTGTGTGTGCGTGTGTGTGCGTGTGCGTGCGTGTGCGTGTGTGTGCGTGTGCGTGTGTAAGCTCAACGTTATATACACGTGGTCCTTGATTTCTATTCCTTCCAAAGTTTCTTAAATAAGAGTTCGGCACGCTATCCCGTGGCCCGGAAATCGATGTGCGTGGACAGCGTCCATCCGTCCTTTTCATTATGACGATGATGACGATGATTGTGATCGTAAAACTCGGATTTTGCTTGCTCGCGACGGGGAATCTCTCCAGGACATGGGGGGGGGGGGGGGGAGACGCTCATGGGGTCTTATCGTCCCTCCAGCCGTTGGTCGGAAGGCGCCCCCATAAAGAACGTTTGTCGTCATCATCATCCTCATTATCTATTATTATTTATTATTATTATTGTGTTTTTGAAATAATCATTTAAAAAAAGAGAGAGAGAGAGAGAGAGAGAGAGAGAGAGAGAGAGCTGTCCCTGGCTACGTTCCAGACGTGTCCGTTGGCACGGTGAATGGCGGAGACCTCCAGGGCGGGAGATGGGAGGAAGCGGGATCCGGGCCTCCCCGTCGCCCCCGTCTCTGTCCCACGCCAGGCTCGGCCACGCCCGGGCCACGTCCTGGCGCAGAAGGCCGTGCCTCGGTTTCACATTTCGTAGGGTTGGAAGTTGATCTTGTTTGTGTCATTCGAGGTGAGGGGGGGGGCGCGGAAACGGGGGTACGGGGTCGGTCCAGGGGCACATGGCGGCCGGCGGACGGTCCTTTCGGCCGGCGCGCGCACGCGCACGCGTGCATGTTGCTGTGTTGCATGTTTTTTTATCCTCTTGTTGTTGTTCTTCTTCCAATTTTTTAAGTTGTTGTTTTTGTGTGTTTTTTGCTGTTTTTTGTTGTTGTTCTTCTTCCAATTTTTTAAGTTGTTGTTGTTTTTGTGTGTTTTTTGCTGTTTTTTTGTTGTTGTTCTTCTTCCAATTTTTTAAGTTGTTGTTGTTTTTGTGTGTTTTTTGCTGTTTTTTTGTTGTTGTTCTTCCAATTTTTCAGTTGTTTTTGTTTTTTTTTTTAAAAAAAAATTATTATAATGATTATGTTTGGTCCTACGTGCGTGAGATGGGAAACAAACATTCCTCGCGTGGCGATGGGGTGTCGTGTGTCTCTCTCGCACGCTTCTTGTGGGGGAGGGGACACGGGACACGGGATGGGGGTGCGGGGTGGGCGGGCAACGCTATACCCTCGTGGTCGCTATACCCTCGTGGTGGAGTGTCCGTGGGGCAGGTTGCTGCTGTTCTGCCCCCCGCCGCCCCCGCCGCCCCCGCCGCTGCTGAAGGTGTTGAAGGTGTGCAGGGGCTGCATGGCGGTGAGGGCGTTGGGGATCATGGTGATGGTGTTGGGCGTCATCAGCGGGATGTCGTCCGGCGACCGGCGTAGAGTCAGCGTGTAGTCGGGCGGGCACGCCAGCCGAAGCGTGTCCTGGGCCTGGAGCGGCTCGCACCCGTGCTCGTGGTCCAGCGGCTTCATCTGCAGGGACAGGAGGTCCTCGTTGCGAAGGTGAGCCACGTCGTTGGTGCCCGCCACGCCGACGCCGTGGCCGACGCCGTGGCCCCCGCCGTGGCTGGCGCCGTGGCCCCCGCCGTGGCCGCCGCCGCCACGAGGCGGGCTGGGGCGGCGGTGGGTCTCGTGGCGCCTTTTGTCCTTCTTGTAGTACAGGGCGGCGAAGGCCAGGATGTTGAGGAACAGGAGGGAGGCGCCCACGGCGATGGTGACACTGAGCTCGGTGGAGTAGTCACGCTTGGTCTCGATGAGCACGGTGGTGTCCTCCGGTTTGCGTGCGTCCTTGGCGTGTTTGGGGGAGCCCCCGCCGCCGCTGCTGCCGCCGCCGGCGGGCGTGACGGACGGGCGTCGGGTGGTGGGCCAGGACTTGGCCGCGGAGGAGCGCCGGGTGCCGTAGGGAAAGGAGGTCATGTCCGGGGGCGGGACCTTGGTGGTGGTGGACACGTACTGGAAGATCTCGTTGAGGTTGTGCAGGTGAGGCACCAGCTCGAGCCAGAAGGCCACCTTGGTGGCCCGGTAGTGGTCTCGAACCCGGGGCTTGAGGCCGATGTGCAGGTACAGCTGGTCCTTGGGGTTGTACTTGGACCAGGCCACCTCCTCAAAGCGGTTCGGCTTGGTGTGGATGAACTTGGTGTCCTGAGGCACGGGCTGGTTGGGGTCCCTACGGTGGGCAGGGGTAGAGGGGAGACAGAGAGAGAGACAGAGAGTGAGAGAGAGAGAGAGAGAGAGAGGGAGACAAGGAATGGAATCCATCCATTCGCTCATGTATCCACCCATCCAGGTCTCCATCCATCCATCCATCCACTATCCATTCATCCATCCATCCATCCACCATCAATTCATCCATCCATACATCCATCATTACTTCCATTCATCCATATTTCTCTCCATCCATCCACTCATCCATCCATCCATCCTTCCCTCCATTCATCCATCTTTCTCTCCATCCACCATCCCTTCATCCATCCATCCATCCATCCATCCATCCATCCTTCCCTCCATTAACCCATCTTTCTCTCCATCCATTCATCCATCCACCCATCCAGCCATCCACCATCGATTCATCCATCCATCCATCCTTCCCTGCATTTATCCATCTTTCTCTCCATCCATCCACTCATCCATCCATCCATCCATCCATCCTTCCCTCCATTCACCCATCTTTCTCTCCATCCACCCATCCATCCACCCACCAATCCACCATCCATTCATCCACCATTCATTCATCTATCCATCCATCCATCCATTCATCCATCTTTCTCTCCATCCACCCATCCACCCATCCATCACCATCCATTCATCCATCCATCCATCCATTTATCCATCCACCATCGATTCATCCATCCATCCATCCTTCCCTCCATTCACCCATCTTTCTCTCCATCCACCCATCCACCCATCCATCACCATCCATTCATCCATCCATCCATCCATCCATTTATCCATCCACCATCAATTCATCCATCCATCCATCCATCATTACCTCCATTCACCCATCTTTCTCTCCATCCACCATCCATTCATCCATCCATCCATCCATCCTTCCCTCCATTCACCCATCTTTCTCTCCATCCACTCATCCACCCATCCATCACCATCCATCCGTCCACCCATCCATTTATCCATCACCATCCATTCATCCATCCATCCATCCATCCATCCTTCCCTGCATTTATCCATCTTTTTCTCCATCCATTCACTCATCCATCCATCCATCCACCATCCATCCATCCATCCATTCATTTATCCATCCACCATCGATTCATCCATCCATCCATCCTTCCCTCCATTAACCCATCTTTCTCTCCATCCATTCATCCATCCATCCACCATCCATCTGTCTCTCCATTCATCCATCTTTCTCTCCATCCATTCATCCATCCATCCACCATCCATCCACCCATCCATCCATCCACCATCGATTCATCCATCCATCCACCCATCCATCCTTCCTTCCATTCATCCATCTTTCTCTCCATCCACCCATCCATCCATCCATCCACCCATCCATCCTTCCCTCCATTCATCTATCTTTCTCTCCATCCACCCATCCATCCACCATTCATTCATCCATCCATCCATCCACCCATCCATCCACCCACACATCCATCCATCCATCCATCCACCCATCCACCCATTCATCCATGAATAAATCTACCCATCATCCGGGGGTCACAAGTTTCCATAATGCTCAGCTACATCCATCTACACACGGAGGGGACAGATGACCATGCTCTCTGGACGCCATATTTTTTTTTTAAATATATGTTATTGATTTTTTTTTTTTTACAGAGAGGAAGGGAGAGGGAGCTAGAAACGTTGATGAGAGAGAAACATTGATCAGCCACCTCCTGAACGCCCCCCGAACTGGGGATGTGCCCACAACCAAGGCGCATGCCATTGACCAGGAATCGAACCCGGGATCCCTCAGTCCACAGGCCGGTGCTCTATCCACTGAGCCAAACTGACTAGGGTATTTAAATAATTTTATATATTTATTGACTTCAGAGAGCAGGAAGAGAGACAGAGAGAGAGAGAGAGAGAGAGAGAGAGAGAGAGAGAGAGAGAGAGAGAAAGAAAGAAAGAAAGAAAGAAAGAAAGAAAGAAAGAAAGAAAGAAAGAAAGAAAGAAAGAAAGAAAGAAAGAAAAGAAAGAAAGAAAGAGGAAAGAAAAAACATTAAAAAAAATTTTTTTCCTGGTCTTGCTGGTGTGGCTCAGTGGTTGAGCATCAACCTAGGAACCAGGAGGTCAGGGTTCGATTCCCGGTCAAGGGCACAGGCCCAGGTTGTGGGCTCCGTCCCTGGTGGGGGGCGTGCAGGAGGCAGCGGATGGATGTTTCTCTCATCGATGTTTCTGACTCTCTCCCCCTCTCCTTTAATCTCTGTAAAAAAATCAATAAAATATATATTTTTAAAAAATAATAAAATACTTTTATTAAATTTTTTTGCAAAACAAGGAAAAGAAAAAGGTGGTCATTGCATGTCATAGCGACTGGTCGACCCGTTGACGGTCTGCCCCCTGGTGGTCAGAACATGTCATAGCGACTGGTTGGCCGGTCGATGGTCTGCTCCCTGGTGGTCAGTGCATGTCATAGCGACTGTTCAACCAGTCGACTATCTGCCCCCTGATGGTCAGTGCACATCATAGCAACTGGCTGATCAATTGTCTGCCCCCTGGTGGTCAGTGCACGTCATACCAACTGGCAGATCAATTGTATGTCTGCCCCCTCATGGTCAGTGCATGTCCTAGCAACTGGTCAACCAGTTGACTGTCTGCCCCCTGGTGGTCAGTGCATGTCATCGCGACTGGTCGGCCTGCTGACTGTCTGACCCCTGGTGGTCAGTGCACGTCATAGCGACTGGTCAACCGGTTGATTGCCCCCTGGTGGTCAGTGCACGTCATAGCAACTGGCTGATCAATTGTCTGCCCCCTGGTGGTCAGTGCACGTCATGGCAACTGTCAGATCAATTGTATGTCTGCCCCCTGGTGGTCAGTGCATGTCCTAGCAACCAGTCCACTGATGGACTACCTGCCCCCTGGTGGTAAGTGCACGTCATACCAACTGGCAGATCAATTGTCTGTCTGCCCCCTGGTGGTCAGTGCACATCATAGCAACTGGTCGGCCTGCTGACTGTCTGCCCCCTGGTGGTCAGTGCACGTCATAGCGACTGGTCAACCGGTTGATTGCCCCCTGGTGGTCAGTGCACGTCATAGCAACTGGCTGATTAATTGTCTGCCCCCTGGTGGTCAGACCACGTCATAGCGAGCGGTCGGCCGGTAGACGGTCTGCCTCCTGGTGGTCAGTGCACGTCATAGTGACCGGTTGGCCGGTCGGCTGTCTGCCCCCTGGTGGTCAGTGAATGTCATAGCGACCGGTTGGCCGGTTGGCTGTCTGCCCCCTGGTGGTCAGTGCACGTCATAGCAACTGGCAGATCAATTGTATGTCTGCCCCCTGGTGGTCAGACCACGTCCTAGCGAGCGGTCGACCGGTCTCTGCAGGCCAGACGGGACGGGGACCGGGTGGGGGGCCACGTACCCGGTCTTGGCAAAGTTGGTCCAGTAGGTCATGACCACGGCGCTCAGCATCACGTCGTTCTTGGAGAAGTTGCAGCTGAACAGCTCGGTGGCGCCCACCATGGGGACCCCGAACACGTAGGGCACCTCGTCCCCGTGGGCGGCGTCCGCCCAGCCCGGCTTCATCTCGCTCTGGCAGTGGTGGTAGAAGGCGTAGAAGTAGGTGGGGGATCCGTACTGGGCGTGCAGGTCGGCGGTGGCCACGGCGGGCGCCACCCACTGGTGGTCGGTGAACAGCGCCACCAGGGTCTTGCGCCTTGTCTCCGGGTTCTCCTTGTCCGCCCAGTCGGTGTACATGAACTTGATGGTCTCCCTGAGCGTGTCCTTGCCCTCGGGGTAGCCGTAGAGGTTGTCCACGAAGTTGGACACGGAGAAGTCGAAATCGCTAGGGGTCACCCCGTCCTCGGCGCCAACAATGCCTTCCACGAAGGTCAGGCCCTCGCCCTGGTTCACGCCCAGCATGATGTCATAGTTGAGGAATTCGCCCTGTTCCATGAGGATCTGAGGGTCGTCGGGGATGACGTCCCCGTCGATGACGGGCCCGAAGGAAATGTGATAGGTGGCCGGCGTGACCGTCGGCTGCACCAGCTCCCGAGGGGACTTGCCCCGCAGGCAATCCACCAGGTCCGTCGTGTCGAGCATGTTGCAGCCGACCTTGTCCGCGAGGACGCGCGTGTACTTGGCCGGCTGGTAGTTGACGGCCCAGCTGGACAGGGCGGTGCCGCTCTGGATGATGGCCTTCTGGAACAATCCTGCGGGTGGTGGGGGGGGGGGGACAGAGCAATGAGGGAGGGGGGGTTTTGGCGCTCTGGCCGGGACAGACGTGTCCATGAAAAAAAATTTTTTTTTTTAAGAAAAAAGGAGAAAGAGCCAAATCCACTGAACCACACTCGCCCAGAAACAAAGGCGTGGCTCAGTGGATAGAGCGTCGGCCTGCGGACGGAAGGGTCCCGGGTTCGATTCCCGGTCAAGGGCGTGGACCTGGGTGGCTGAGGGCACATCCCCAGTCAGGGGGCGTGCAGGAGGCAGCGGATGGATGTTTTTTCTCTCTCTCATCATCAATGTGTCTGACTCTCTCTCTTCCCTCTCCTTTCCTCTCTGTAAAGAGATCAATAAAAATACGTAAAATGAAAATAAAAGCGAAAGGAACCCTAGTTGGTGTGCCGGAAGGGTCCCGGGTTCGATTCCCGGTCAAGGGCATGGACCTGGGTGGCTGAGGGCACATCCCCAGGCAGCTGATCGATGATTCTCTCTCATCATCGATGTTTCTGACTCTCTCACTTCCCTCTCTCTTCCTCTCTGTAAAAAAAAACAATAAAATATATTTAAAATAAATAAATTAAACAAATTTTTTTTAAAATAAAGAACTCAAACCGGTGTGGCTCAGTGGATAGAGCGTCGGCCTGCGGGCAGAAGGGTCCCGGGTTCGATTCCCAGGTCAAGGGCGTGGAACTGGGTGGCTGAGGGCACATCCCCAGTGGGGGGCGTGCAGGAGGCAGCTGATCAATGACTCTCTCTAATCATCGATGTTTTTCACTCTCTATTCCCTCTCCCTTCCTCTCTGCAAAAATCAATAATATATATATATATATTTTTTAAATGAGTTAATTCTCCTTAAAAATCTCAGGTGGGGGGCGTGCAGGAGGCAGCTGGTCGATGATTCTCTCTCTCATCGATGTTTCTGACTCTCTGTCCCTCTCTCTTTTTCTCTGTAAAAAAATCAATAGAATATATATATATATACATATATATATATATTTTTTTTTTTTAAAGAAAAGAAAGTTGAAAACAAAAACGCGAGGGGACCCCCCTCTTACCTTCCGAGTAGTGGGACAGGGTGAGCAGGCTGACGCAGGAGGCGCCGGCCCCGGAGCCGAAGATGGTCACGCGTTTGGGGTCCCCCCCAAAGGCCCCCACGTTCTCCTCTACCCAGCGCAGGGCCTGGATCTGGTCCAGGAGCCCGTAGTTGCCCTTGGCCGCCTGGTCTCCCGTGCTCAGGAACCCTGGGAATTAGAGAGAGAGAGAGAGAGAGAGAGAGAGAGAGAGAGAGAATATCAAGGACAGGCTGCCTCCTGCATGCCCCCTACTGGGGATGGAGCATGTGCCCTTGACTGGGAATCGAACCCGGGACCCTTCAGTCCGCAGTCTGATGTCTGATCCAGTGAGCCAAGCTGGATAGGAGTAATGTTTTTAATTTAAATGTATATATATTGATTTCAGAGAGAGAGAGAGAGAGAGAGAGAGAGACAGAGAGAGAGAGAGAGAGAAACACAGAGAAAGAGACAGAGAGAGAAAGAGAGAGAGAGAGACAGAGACAGAGACAGAGACAGAGAGAGACAGAGAGAGACAGAGAGAGACAGAGAGAGACAGACAGACAGAGAGAAAGAGACAGAGACAGAGACAGAGAGAGACAGACAGACAGACAGAGAGACAGAAAGAGAGAGACAGAGAGACAGAGAGAGAGAGACAGAGAGAGACAGAGACAGAGAGAGAGAGACAAACAGACACACAGAGAGAGACAGAGAGAGAGACAGAGAGAGAGAGACAGAGAGAGACAGAGACAGAGAGAGAGATAGACAGAGAGAGAGAGACACAGAGAAAGAGACAGAGAAAGAAAAAGACAGAGACAGAGAGACAGAGACAGAGAGAGACACACACACAGAGACACACAGAGAGATACACAGAGAGAGAGAGAGACAGAGACAGAGAGAAAGAGAGACAGAGAGAGAGACAAACAGAGAGAGAGAGAGAGACAGAGAGAGAGAAACAGAGACAGACAGAGAGAGAGACAGAGAGATAAAGATAGACAGAGAGAGAGAGACAGACAGAGAGAGAGAGAGACAGAGAAAGAGACAGACAGAGAGACAGACAGAGAGAGAGAGGGAGACGGCACAGTTGCTTTCATGTCTCTGCCATTCAAATCCCATCTGTGTGGCTCCCTGATGGAGCATCGACCTTTGAACCAGGAGGTCAGGGTTCAATTTCCCGGTCAGGGGCACAGGCCTGGGGGTGGTGGGACTCTAGTCAATAATAAGAATATTAGTGGCCGAAGCTGGTGTGGCTCAGTGGACCGAGCGTCGGCCTGCGGACGGAAGGATCCCGGGTTCGATTCCCGGTCAAGGGCATGGACCTTGGTGGCTGCGGGCACATCCCCAGTGGGGGGCGTGCAGGAGGCAGCTGATCGATGATTCTCTCTCCTCATCGATGTTTCTCACTCTCTCTCCCTCTCCCTTCCTCTCTGCAAAAAAAAAAAAAAAAAAATCAATAACATCTATGTTTTTAAAAATAAAATAGATAAATCACTCTTCAATAACACAAGGCTAATATGCAAATTGACCGGACGCCCGGACAACCGGACGCTATGACGTGCGCTGACCACCAGGGGGCAGACGTTCCATTTTTTTTTTTTTTTAAAAACAATATTTATCAGGCTCATAGAATGGTGGGTAAGAACCGTGTGAATAAAAATGCTGTAATTTAATTTTTTTAAAAAATATATATATATATAATATTGATTTTATACAAGAAGGAAGGCAGAGGGAGAGAGAGCTAAAAACATCGATGAGAGAGACACATCCATCAGCCGCCTCTTGCACGCCCCTCTCCCCACCCCCCACTGGGGATGTGCCTGAATCCGAGGCCCATGCCCCTGACCGGGAATCGAACCCGGGACCCTTGAGTGTGCAGGCCGAGGCTCTATCCACGGAGCCACACAGGATAGGACTGTAATTCAATTTTTGCAGGATCCTAGGACACAGGACGAGAGGGCTTTTTCATTGGCCTTCCCCAAACTGCTATGAGCGAAATGTAATTTCGGGCGCTGCCTTCCCTCCTTGGCGTGTGAGACTTCACACAACTTTTTTCCCTAATTGTCTCGTGACTGGAACCTCTCTCCCGTGTCTCAGATGGAGAAGGTGAGGGCGTAAGGAAGACAGATTTCATTCTAACGGGATGTAGAAACCTTTGTGAAAATTGATGGCGACAGAGTATAACCATTGTTAATTATTATTATAATTATTATTATAATTACTATGCTAGAGGCCTGGTCACCATTAACCGCCCTCCCCTGCCGGCCTGGTCGCCCCCAACTGCCCTCCCCTGCAGGCCTGGTCGCCCCCAACTGCCCTCCCCTGCAGGCCTGGTCGCCCCCAACTGCCCTCCCCTGCAGGCCTGGTCGCCCCCAACTGCCCTCCCCTGCAGGCCTGGTCGCCCCTAACTGCCCTCCCCTGCCAGTCTGATCGCCCCTAACTGCCCTCCCCTGCAGGCCTGATGGCCCCTAACTGCCCTCCCCTGCAGGCCTGATGGCCCCTAACTGCCCTCCCCTGCAGGCCTGGTCCCCCTGAACTGCCCTCCCCTGCAGGCCTGGTCGCCCCCAACTGCCCTCCCCTGCAGGCCTGGTCCCCCCCAACTGCCCTCCCCTGCAGGCCTGGTCACACCTAACTGCCCTCCCCTGCAGGTCTGGTCACCCCCAACTGCCCTCCCCTGCCGGCCTGGTCCCCCCCTAACTGCCCTCCCCTGCAGGCCTGGTCACCCCCAACTGCCCTCCCCAGAAGGCCCTTCAGTCTTCAGTAGCGGCTCCATGCCTGCGTATGCAAATGAACCCACCATCTTTGTTGGGGGGTTCATTTGCATACTCGCTCCTGATTGGCTGGTGGGCGCCGTGCAGGCACGATCAATTTGCATCTTTCTCTGCGGCGTTAGCGCTATAATAATAATTATTATTAATAATAATATTAATAAGAACTAACAGCCGAAGCCGGGGTGGCTCAGTGGACAGAGCGTCGGCCTGCAGACAGAAGGGTCCCGGGTTCGATTCCGGTCACGGGCATGGGCCTTGGTGGCTGAGGGCACATCCCCAGTGGGGGGCGTGCAGGAGGCAGCTGGTTGATGTGTGTGTATAGATAGATAGATCAACATCATCATTATCTGGCCACTCGATATCGATAGATATAGATATAGATATAGATATAGATATAGATATAGGTATAGGTATAGGTATAGATATAGATATAGATATAGATATAGATATAGATATAGATATAGATATAGATATAGATATAGATATAGATACAGATACAGATACAGATACAGGTATAGATATAGATAT